AAAATCAATGAAATGTGAAAATACTACTTTTTTTTCATGTTTTTCAAACTTTGAACGTGAATTACAGCCGTATGGATAAAACCACAGTAATATATCGATACATGCTAGATTCCCTAAACATTCAGCTTTCATATGCATCTTTTGTGTCCATTCTATCTATCGTTATTTGCTCACCCAATGCCGTTTTGGTGCGAACGTTCCTCGAGTACCCCATCGGATGTAGGATGGCCCAGTAACGATCGACGGAGACGGCGACCAGACAGAATATCGATATGGTGCAGAGGACGACGAGCAGTGAGACGGTGAAGAGACACGCGTACAGATTCGTCGGCAATCCAACGGAAGACATGACCGCAAACGGAATGCCGAGAAGTCCCACCAGGAAATCGGCGACAGCCAAGGAGACGATGTAGTAGTTAGTGCGACGACGAAGACGACGCTCTTTACGGAAGACGAGTATCACGAGGGCATTACCGACGACCGCCAGAATCGCGACGATTATCTCGCAGACGGCGTAATACAAGTTGAGCTCTTCCTTCTGGTATTCGTGACTCTCTTCGGAAGCGTTGGCCGAGGACGTCGTCGGCTGGAAAGTGATTGCGTTGAAGGCCATTGCAGCGGTCAACCCAGCTCTGATTTCCTCCTTTTCATCATCTCCACCCGCAACGCGCTCAAACCTGAAACAAACACAAACGAATTAGAACATTTTATTGAATAACTCAATAACCACGCGCATCAATTACACAACAACATAAGATTATTAAAGATAAAACTATGAGCTTTCCAATGAGCCCACATACAAAGTTGTAGCATATACAGTTCAGTTGTTATAAGCTATCAAATTTGAAATTAAGAAAAAAAATTAATTAAGAAAATGTTCGAGATGTAGCGATTTTTTTTGCAAATGCGACCGATGCGAAAATCGAACGTTAATTAGACATCAAGTGGGAGTTGGAAACCTCTCAAGTGACCGTCGCAAATCTTTTGTTGCATTCTGTTTCCATGGTGATTGTTTACCTCCCGCTGTTGTCGCGGAAACAAAACGCCGCTCCGGCACGTCCACCAATTACGAACAAATACCATCCATCGCCTCCTTGGATTTCGCAATAAACGTGCATATATACATATGTATGTATAGAAAGAAAGAAAAAACATAAGAAACGCGAAAAACTCATTTGTTTCTGCAATAGATAACACAGCACGTGTTGTTTTCGTTGTTGCTACTGCTGCTGCCTGCTGTTAGTAAGTATTATAGAGTTGATGTTGGTGTGCTTCTTTCTTGTAGTTTTCGCATCAATTTCGCGCTCGGTTTCCACTGCAGCAGTTAATTCAGTTATCTCCGCTGGCATCGGATTACAGACGGACGGCCGGCCGGAAAAGTAAAACGCAACGAGAGGAAGAAAGATCGCGCCAATTCAGACTAAAACCTCATTCCATTTAGCCTAGTTTAATTAAATAGGATGGAATGATAATTTGCAATTAGTTTTACGCCGTCGTCGGCGCAAATCCCTACGATTACCCACGAATCTACTTAATAAACTGGAGAATTTAACTGAAGAATCTCCACTTTACAGCATCAATGAGATTTACGGCAAACGCACAAAGTTGTAAATCAAATCGTATAATGTTTTTTTTTTTTTTTGCAAAAAGATGAATAGATTTCTAGAGCAGAAACGAACATTGAATCACCGTTCTTTTCATTCGCAAATTAACGGCAACGGATCGTTTCGCTCGCGAAAACATATAATTTTAATTATGTAGACTTTTGTTGTGAAGTGCGTGAACAGCAACAAGAAAAAAACGAACGAACGGAGGGTGGATTTCGGGAAAATGAGCCCCTATTCAACAGAAGTGTACTAAAAAAAAAAACACGAAATATAGATTGAATTCGATGTGATCAGCAAACAAACAAAAAAATAGCGTTGATTGTTTCACACACAAAAAAAATAAACAAGAGGGAAGTTGTAGTATACACTTCACGTTTATTCGATTACTCGTTGTTTACTTTACTTTGTATGCGTGTTTGATTTGAAAATTACGTTTCACAAATCGATATTCATATCGTATAATTAAATTCTACATCACAATTTTACACGTTACGGCAACGTAACGTGTACATTTATTTATTTTTCAAACTGTCAATGTCATTTTTGTTTTTGTTGTTATTGTATTATATAATTATAAATTGAGGTTGACAATAAGTGGATTGACATTGACAGCTATAAATTTAAATCATATATTTTAAATTGACAGATCAATAAATAAGAACGATAGTATATTACAATTACGTTGCTGTAACATAAACGTAATGGTTCTTTTATTCTTCAAACTGTCAATGTTATTTGTTGTTGTTGATGTTGTATTATATAATTATAAATTGAGGTTGACAATAAGTGAATTGACATTGACAGCTCTAAATTTAAATCATATGATTTAAATTGACATTGACAGATCAATAAATAAGAATAAGATAGTGTATTACAATTACGTTGATGTAACTTAAACGTAATGGTTCTTTTTTTCTTCAAACTGTCAATGTCATTTGTTGTTGTTGTATTATATAATTATAAATTGAGGTTGACAATAAATGGATTGACATTGACAGCTCAATAAATAAGAACGATAGTGTATTACAATTACGTTGCTGTAACATAAACGTAATGGTTCTTTTTTTTCAAACTGTCAATGTCATTTTTGTTGTTGTATTATATAATTATAAATTGAGGTTGACAATAAGTAGATTGACATTGACAGCTCAATAAATAAAAACGATAGTGTATTTCAATTACGTTGATGTAACAACGTAATTGTTCTTTTTTTCTTCAACCTGCAATGTCATTTGTTGTTGTTGTTGTTGTATTATATAATTATAAATTGAGGTTGACAATAAGTGGATTGACATTGACAGCTATAAATTTAAATCATATGTTTTAAATTGACATATCAATAAATAAGAACGATAGTGCATTACAATTACGTTAATGTAACGTAAACGTAATGGTTCTTTTTTCTTCAAACTGTCAATGTCATTTTGTTGTATTATATAATTATAAATTGAGGTTGACAATAAGTGTATTGACATTGACAGCTCTAAATATAAATCATATGTTTTAAATTGACATTGACAGATCAATAAATAAAAACGATAGTGCATTACAATTACGTTGATGTAACGTAAACGTAATGATTCTTTTTTTTTTTTCAAACTGTCATTTGTGTCATTTTTTTGTGTTGTATTTGAGGTTGACAATAAGTGAATTGACATTGATTTTTTTTGTATTGTAAATTATACTTCGAGCTAATGGTTCATTGTTTTTTCGAACTGTCGGTGTGTTATTTTTTTTGTTCTTGTATTATCACGTGATATTGACAATAAGTGGGAAGACATTGACAGTTCTAAAAACAAACTCTATGTTTTAAATTTGACATTGACAGTTCAATAAACAAGATCGATATGGTAACTATGGTAATTTATAAATTAGTTAATTTAAGTTTTTGGAAGGGAAGGGGTAAAGCGAAATGACATTGACGTTTGTGAGTAATCAGTTTAAGTTTGGTAACAAACGTGAGGTGTCAAATTCTTGAGTTTTCGCAAAACTTTCATCGTTTTTTTCATGGTAAAATTTGGGGGGTTTCAGTGGAAAATCAATCGAATTTCCGGCGTTGGCGATGAGTGATTCACACGCACAGTGAGTTAGTTGGTTTCTGGTGAATAGTGAGTAAGTAAGTAAGTGCATGAAGGCGAAGGAAAAATCGATGGCTTCGGAATTTCTAAATATACACAACACAGAGAGCGCAAAACGCATTGTGCGGAATGAACGTTGGACGGGACAGAAATAGGCGGAAGGAAGGATACGGGACAATGTTGAAGAAGCAGAAGGACAGACGGAGAGAGAAAAGAACGAGTGAGACGAGGATGAATGTGAAGAGAGAAAAAGAGAAGGCCAATAATTCAGCCGCAAACTAAACTAAAGTTCCGAGACGCGGCCTAAATTATTCAATAGCTCATAACAATCCAACATTTTTCTTTTTCTTTTGCCATTCGTTACAATGAAAGGTTACAAGAAAAGGAATATATAGATCCGCACGAAAAACGAAAAAAGAAGTGAAATCTTTGTCATACACGAGTTTTCACTTAAGCTCTAGTAAATTCATTGAAACTTAATTTAGTTGTATATTTCGTTCAATAGATGGCGTAAGAAAAAAAAAACATTGATACAGTTTTATTTTTTTCCTTTGACGTTGGTCATGTATTAGTCGATAAACGTCAAATTTGGCAATTTGTCAAACGTCAAATTAGACAGTTTCTGTTAAGTTTTTTTCACTGAATGAGATCACAACTATTTGGTCGCTTTCATTTCGTCACTTAAGCTTTTACATAGTAAATTCATTAAAACTTAATTTAGTTGAAATTTTCGTTCGATAGATGGCGTAAATTTCAATAATAAGGAAAATCATTGATACAGTTTTGAATTTTTCCTTTGACGTTTGTTATGTATTAATCGATAAACGTCAAATTTGACAATTTGTCAAACGTCAAATTAGACAGTTTCTGTTAAGTTTTTTCACTGAATGAGATCACAACGATTTGGTTGTTTTCAATTGGTCACTTAAGGTTTGATACAGTCAATTCATTGAAACTTAATTTAGTTGAATATTTCGTTCGATAGATGGCGTAAATTTCAACATAAGAAAAAACATTGCTAAAGTTTTGTTAATTTGACGTTTGTCGTGTATTAATCGATAAACGTCAAATTTGACAATTCCTATATGAATTAATCGATAAACGTCAAAATTGACAACTTATCAAAAGTCAAATTAGACAGTTCCTGTTAAATTTTTCACTGAATGAGATCATAACGATTTGGTCGCTTTCATTTGGCCACTTAAGCTTTGATACAGTAAATTCATTGAAACTTAATTTAGTTGAATTTTTTGTTGGATAGATGACATACATTGATACAGTTTTTTTTACTTTGACGTTTGTCGTGTATTAATCGATAAACGTCAAATTAGACAATTCCTGTATGTATTAATCGATAAACGTCAAAATTGACAATTTGTCAAACGTCAAATTAGACAGTCGCTCTCTTTAATTGAGAATCATCATTCATGATTTTGCTCTCTCTTTCTCGTAATCGCACAGTTTTCGCGCCGAATTAGATATGAAAAATTCTATTTGTAATTTTCCCGTTCATCGGTCCGCGGAGAAATTTTTCCATCCAGTCGAGTGATTAATTTTCCCTCTGTCTTTCTTTCATTCCGTCTATTTGCCATCGATTTAATTTTTCTCATTTCAAACAAAATATGATTTTACCTCTTGAAAAAAAGAGAAAAACCGAACATATTTTTTTTTACGACTTAATGAACTGTCCGAGCGAGGGTGGCTGAAATACGTTTTTGTTTCTTTTTCGTTTTATTGTCTCGTAAATAAATGCGCCCTAATCGAAAATGTAACAATCAAAATTCGCGCGCTTTATTCGGTTTCCGTGTATACTATTTATTATATAGGGTCATTTCGTATGATTTTTAGTACGGTTGGTATTAAATGTTGACCAAAAATTGATGAAAATAGGGGATTTTTATTTTCTTTGGTTACAAAAAGTCAATTGCAAACATGTTACCAACCAACAAAAACACAATATATAAACTTGTTTTTTTCCACTAAATAAAAAATGAATTTACTACTGTCGTATTTTATAAAAAACTGAAACATCTATCAGTGAATTAGAGACGCTCCAATAGTTCGCAGTTTTTTTTGTTTTGTTTTATAAAATCGATTTCAAATTTAGCGCTTCCAAACTTGAAGGAAAAAAAGAAAAACAAAAGCGATGAATTCGATTTGATTGGTCGTTTCGTGGTTCGGCCTCGATTTTATTTTGTTTTTTTATTATCCTGCATGCTTTCTGAATGTACGGCTTGCAGGTATAATTACGGAAAATTCGCGGAAACGCCGAGACCCGAATCATCGTCGACTCAATCCATATAATTTTCCGTTCGGAAAAATATACCGCTAGAAATCCACTGAGAAACGAACAAAAAGAAAATAAAGATTTTCGCAATGAACATTTTGACGTTTCTGACATTGACGTTGTTCAAGGTTAGGTTCGTTGCTTGTCATTCAATGACAAATTTAGATGACGTTGACAGTTGACAGTTGAACATGTATAATTAAGATAAATGTCATAAATGACATTTTGAATGACGGAAAGAAGAAAATAATGACAGGAAGCAGCAAAAATTAATCGACGAAGAACGGGGGTGCGTTTAATTTGCAAATTGAATTCCCCATTGAATCGTACAAACACACCAATTCAGTCATGCGAGAGGTCCGTTTTTGTGAGTTGGGGGAGGAGGGTCGTTGACGCTGAGAACTCCATTTAGCAAAGCAAACATGCAGCAATAGTGTGAGTGAGATTAGTGCGTATTTAATGCGAGCCAAACAAATAAGATTAGTTGATAAATTTGCATTCAGAATTTGTCAATTAAAGCCGATTATTATGTAACCCACGTTTGTGATACGGTTTAAAAAAAATGCAATGACATATGTTAAAATTATCAACTGACAAGTATAACCTTAATTTGGATATAATGGAGTGACAGCATTCACGTCAAAAATGTAATTGTTTTAACTGTCATTTTATTAGGTTAATGTCAAGTTATATTGACACATGTCAATATTGACACAATTGCAGAACATAAGGAATCAATGTATTTTTTCACTTTCAATTCTCGAACGAACAACAAAGTAAAATTATTCGTTAATCAATGATAATTAAAGAAATTCTACGATCCTTATACAAAACACAATGATTACACGACAAAGTTAAAACTTGATGAAAAATGTTATCTACTCGATAATTAAGCATTTTTAATTACTTTCAGTCTTAAATTTCAGCGCTGTATTGAGTGTCTAAAATGTAATTGTTTTAACTGTCATTTTATTAGGTTAATGTCAAGTTATATTGACACATGTCAATAATGACACAAATGCAGAACATAAAGAATTAATGTAATTTTTCACTTACAATTCTCGAACAAAGTAAAATTATTCGTTAATCAATGATAATTAAAGAAATTCTACGATCCTTTTACAAAACACAATGATTACACGACAAAGTTAAAACTTGATGAAAAATGTTATCCACTCGATAATTAAGCATTTTTAATTACTTTCAGTCTTAAATTTCAGCGCTGTATTGAGTGAGGAAAAGTTGTTTTTTTTTGTTGTTGTTGTTGTTAATAAATACGAAAATAAGCAAAGAGTCTCGAGTGTCGTTAATTATGCGAAACGTGTTTTTAATAATCCTGGAAAACGTCGTGTAAATCTTCGTTCCACTTCAGCTTAATAAAACATTCCTTAATGTAGGCAAAATCACGAAGGCAAAACAAAAATAAACAAACAAAAGCAAAAGCGAAATGCGTATAGAAACAAATGCCGAAAGCACAAATACCGCAACGATTTCAGTGTTTCCAAAACTTGAAATATATTTTTTTTTACAAAATCGTCCAAATCGACCACGTTTTTGTTCTTACATCTTTTCTTATTTCGCTGAAGAAAAGAAAATGTAGATATTGAAGATAGACATAAATAACAATCATTTTCTTCACATTTTCCACCCTCGTCCATATTTCACTTCACTACATATTACATTTTTCTCTCGTTTTAAGGGTGAAAGCGAGAACCTCATTCTAAACATTCCTTCGATACACGAACATCAATAATCGTTGTTTTTTTTTTGCTCCCTCTTCAAACCACTATAATTTATGATTATATCAAAAAAATTGTAAATGTTTCCAAATACTTCATAATTACATCGGAAGAGGTTTTAAATTGCGCTTCTTTTGATATAACCATGGTTACGTAATGTTAATTAATAATCAAGATATCACGATTTTCGATTTGTTTGACGTGTCTTCACCTTTTGTTTCATTACTCGATAACCAATCATCATAATTAGATCATTCAAAGTGTAAATCTAACATAAATCTATAGCCTTTAAAACCAGCTCACTGCGAGATTTGTGCTATTCACCGTTTATCTGTTATGATCTGTGAAATTTGAAAAAAAAAATTAAACTTTTTTCTAAAACAAAATTTTTCTATAATTACTGTTTCTTTTATATATATAGTAATTATTAAAAACTGTAATTTTTAGCTTTCACTGATTGTGGACAAAATTAAGGACAAATTTGCGACTTTTCCAATTAATTTAATAAAAAAAAACTTACCAAAAAACCCATGCGTTTTTGTGGCACACGGATACAATTTTAGTTTTTTTTTTGAAAGACACAACACCACTTTTTCTCCCTCCTTGCTGTTTTTAGTTGTGTTTTGTTTCAAAAAAAAAAAAAGAAAAAACACTCCACTGCTTGTTATCAACTTGGACAATTGCCGCTGAATTTCAGCAAATTCTTAATCTAATTTCCGCGTTATTCCATTATCAACGATATCCGCGTCGGCTTTGATAAAACAAGAGAGAAAAACAAGTTTTGCTGGAAACAATTCACAGAAAAAATGAAGAAAATTGTGACTATGAAAATTTGAAGGTCGAAACAAAAGAATTATAAACAAATTGACGAATAAACAAAAAGGAATCGCGTTGCCTAGGATAGTTGGAGGTGGAGTTGTTGAAACAAAAACGGTCGCAACGAAAGCGCGTCGCCTACTGCCGTCGCGCCGCGATGGGAAACACTTGTGGATGATGATAACGTTTGCGCGGATTTTCTTATTCGTTTTTTGCGCGCGCGCGCATTCTACAATTACGTAAAGAAACGAATCAAAATAAAAAAAAAAGGGAAAGACAAAAGTGGAAGTAAAAAAGGAATAGAGGAATTTTCCTCTTCCGTTCTCGTTCTTCGATTCAACAATTGTGAATTTATTCAAGCCGCGTTATTTTACGCGGAATTTGCGTTAATTTATTATTATTATATTCGCACACATACGTATCCTCCTCATAGAAGAGGAGACACGCGAAGAACGCAACGTGCGGCACTCACCCTAATCACGAAACGTTCGTGCGATCATCGTTTATCGCCGCCGTTGATCATGAATTATTATTATTTTCCCGAATAAAGCAATAGAGGAATTAATTTTTCCGCGCAGCTTAAAATAGGCGAAAATTTGCGCGGAAATCGATGTCAAGGTTGTCCGAAAGTGTAGCTTACTAATTATCATTTGATATCTGAGGTGAAACGAATGCGAACGGGGAGGAAACCCTCGTTTTACCACGATTCTCGTAAATCAATGTTAAAAGCGAATTTTTTTTCCTCTCCCCCTGAATTTTGTATAAAAAAAAATATTCTCACACACTTTCAGACATGATGTAATAGTTTCAATACATCGCGTCAAAAAAAAAATGGGGTGCGGGATTATTGACGTTATATATATATTCATATTGTTGCTATGTACGCGTTTCCATGGTTTCTATATATATCATTTATTAGTAAAGAAGGAGTGATTTTTTTTTAATAAATCTTTGATATTTTCAATTACATTTAATTAAGTTAACATTGAAAATTGTCATAATGCAATTAATGTTTTATTTTAGTTTTTTTTATAATTAGTAAAATTTTGTATAAATTAGAAATTCGTTTTCAAATTTCTTAGGTTTACAAAATGTCACAATGACGTTTCTACTCGTCTCATAATGCAACACGAGAAAACAAAAGTATTACCAATAGTGTTTTATTTCAATCATTCATTTATTTTTCTCCTCTCAAAATTCGAGAATTTGTTAGGTTATGGAAATGTCATTGTGACATTTCTATTTCACCCACAATGCATCAGCATCAGAAACAAAAAAAAACAATTAGTATTACCAACTTTCGTTTACATAATCGTAAAATTTCACTGCATCAAAAAACAAAATGTACTTTGCTTAGCAACGAAATTATTAATTTTTGTTTTCACTCGTATAATCTCGCCGCTCTCGATTAGGTCTCATCACGACGACTTGATTATTGATTACATTGATTACGTTAATTACATTATTTTTAGAATCGTAAAATTTAAACTCAAAACAGATTCATTCTTACTGAATTCCCTCCAAAAATTAAAACATAAAAAAACGCAGTGAAAATAAATCGATATCGTCGCGTGACAACCTTCGTTTCTTTTCTTTTTTTGTTTTTTTTTATCCTTATCCAAACATGTTTTAACTGTTTAAAGGGCCCGAAGAAGTAGTAGAAGAAAGAGTGATTGAAGAATGCAGCAGAATGAGACTTGTTGCGGTTGAAATCGAATAGAAACGTGACTTCCTAACTGCGTCTCTCGTCCAAATAAATACGAAAATAACTAATTAAGACGTGCTCGAAACGCGCATACATATCGCCGATTTATTTGCGTTTAATGTTCCTGTTTTTGTTGTTCGTCGCTTTTGGTTCGTCCGCAAATACAATGCAATTATTATTTGCATTGGTTTCCTGAAGATAATCGTTCGACAAATACGGATGTGAAAAATTGTACATTGATTTTGACTGAATTGGGAATTTCGATAATTTGCGAGACACAGATTAAAATGCAATTTACACATCGAGATTTCTGTTATAAGAAAGTTAGTAAAACGTAATAGAAAAATAAAAACAAGTAAATTTTAATAAATGGCAATGCTTTAATACTTTCGCAAAGCTTTTGTTTTTTGTTTTAATGTTGGTAATACTATTTTTTTCTGGTGAAAATGGAAATGTCATTTTGACGTAAAAAAAATAACCTTAAAATTTAAATTTATACAATATCAAACTTTTCCACGCTCACATAAAATGTATAAGGAAACATCAAAAATTTATGATTTCTGCTAGTTGCAAATGTTGAAAATTAAAAGGAAACGTAATTTTGGGGTAGGAAAAGTAACCAAATGAAAAACACTATAAAAATGTTGGTAATGCTATTGTCTTCTGGTGAAAATGGAAATGTCATTTTGACGTAAAAAAAAAATAACCTTAAAATTTAAATTTTTACAATAACGAACTTTTCCACGCTCACATAAAATGTACACGGAAACCTCATAAAGTTATGATTTCTGCTAGTTGCAAGAAAATTGAAAGAAAACGAAATTTTGGGTAGGGAAAAAGTAACCAAATGAAAAACACTATAAAAATGTTGGTAATGCTATTGTCTTCTGGTGAAAATGGAAATGTCATTTTGACGTTAAAAAAAAATAACCTTAAAATTTAAATTTTTACAATAACGAACTTTTCCATGCTCACATAAAATGTATAAGGAAACATCAAAAATCTATGATTTCTGCAAGTTTGAAATGTTGAAAATTAAAAGAAAACGTAATTTTGGGTGTGAAAAAAGTAACCAAATGAAAAACACTGTAAAAATGTTGGTAACACAATTGGTTTGGTGATGCATTGTGGGTGGACTAGAAATATCAAATTGACGTAAACATTTTTTTTAAAACCTCAACATTTAAAATTAATAAATTCAAATTTATAAAATATTAAACTTTTCCACACATACATATAAAATTTACAGGGAAACATAAAAAATCTATGATTTCTGTTAGTTGGAAATGTTGAAAATTAAAAGGAAACATAATTTTGGGGTAAGAAAAAGTAACCAAATGAAAAACACTATAAAAATGTTGGTAATACTATTGGTTTGGTGATGCATTGTGGGTGAACTAGAAGTATCAAATTGACGTAAACATTTTTTTTAAACCTCAAAATTTAAAATTAATAAATTGAAATTTATACAATATTAAACTTTTCCGCACACACATATAAAATGTACACGGAAACATAAAAAAATTATAATTTCTGCAAGTTTGAAATGTTGAAAATTAAGAGAAAACATAATTTTGGGGTAAGAAAAAGTAACCAAATGAAAAACACTATAAAAATGTTGGTAATACTATTGGGTTGGTGATGCATTGTGGGTGGACTAGAAGTAACAAATTGAAGTAAACATTTTTTTAAACCTCAAAATTCAAAATTAATAAATTCAAATTTATACAATATTAAAGTTTTCCCTTCACAAACATAAAATGTACACGGAAACATCAAAAAATTATGATTTCTGCAAGTTGGAAATGTTGAAAATTAAAAGAAAACGTAATTTTGGGGTAGGAAAAAGTAACCAAATGAAAAACACTATAAAAATGTTGGTAATGCTATTGGTTTAGTGATGCATTGTGGGTGGACTAGAACTATCAAATTGACGTAAACATTTTTTTTAAACCTCAAAATTTAAAATTAATAAATTCAAATTTATACAATATTAAACTTTTCCGCACACACATATAAAATGTACACGGAAACATAAAAAAATTATGATTTCTGCTAGTTGGAAATGTTGAAAATTTAATAAAAACGTAATTTTGGGGTAGGAAAAAGTAACCAAATTAAAAATATTGTAAAAATGTTGGTAATACTATTGGTTTGGTGATGCATTGTGGGTGGACTAGAAGTATCAAATTGACGTAAACATTTTTTAAACCTCAAAATTTAAAATTAATAAATTCTAATTTATACAATATTAAACTTTTTCACACATACACATAAAATGTACACGGAAACATCAAAAATTATGATTTCTGCTAGTTAGAAATGTTGAAAATTAAAAGAAAACATAATTTTGGGGTAAGAAAAAGTAACTAAATGAAAAACACTATAAAAATGTTGGTAATACTATTGGTTTGGTGATGCATTGTGGGTGGACTAGAAGTAACAAATTGATGTAAACATTTTTTTTAAAACCTCAAAATTTAAAATTAATAAATTGAAATTTATAAAATATTAAACTTTTCCACACATACATATAAAATTTCCAGGGAAACATAAAAAATCTATGATTTCTGTTAGTTGGAAATGTTGAAAATTAAAAGGAAACATAATTTTGGGGTAAGAAAAAGTAACCAAATGAAAAACACTGTAAACATATTGGTAATACTATTGTTTTTCTGGTGATGTATTATGTGAACTAGAAATATCAAATTGACGTAAACATTTTTTTTAAACCTTAAAATTTATAAATTGAAATATTAAACTTTTCCGCACACACACATAAAATGTACACGGAAACATAAAAAAAAATATGATTTCTACTAGTTTGTAGTCTTGAGAATTAAAAGAAAACATAATTTTGGGGTAGGCAAAAGTATGAAAAAGAATGAAAAATGTTGGTAATACTATTGGTTTGGTGATGCATTGTGGGTGTACTAGAAGTAACAAATTGACGTTAACATTTTTTTTCTACTAGATTTCTGCTAGTTGGAAATATTGAAAATTTAATGAAAATGTATTTTTGAGGTAGGAAAAAGTAACCAAATGAAAACCACTGTAAAAATGTTGGCAATGCTGTCGTTTCTTTTTGCTCGTGAAGCATTATGGGAGGAGCAGAAATGTCATAATGTTGCTATTGGTAACTAATCCATGGAAACACTTAAGTTGTTTTATATGTTTGATTATTCAAGTAACAATATGTTTTTCCTTGGCTTTAAAATTCTTCAAGTTTCTAATCTATTTTCTCTTGTATCTCTCTCTCTCTCTCTCACTCTCTGTCTATCATTCATTCAGTTATCGTAAAGTTAAATGAAATTGTAATTGTGCAATGGGCATTTCATGTCACGATTGCACACATCTCCCGGACTCTCCGCATTCTATAAATAGACGCGTTTAAAGGGGAACATTTGCATAAAACGCGAATCGAGCCGTGCGCGATTCCACTCACTCACTCACTCATACGATCGCTTCTTTTGGTCTTCTCATTCGTTGCGTTACGTGCACGAATCCAAATGGATAATCGATGCGCATAAATAAATAAATTTAATGAATTATGATTATTATGATGATGATGA